ATAATAATAATAATAATAATAATAATAATAACAATAACAATAATAATAATAATAATAATAATAATAATAATAATAATAATAATAATAATAATTTGTTTTGCCCCAGCATAAATCTGAAAAGATGCTTTGGCACATTGACACAACAGTGCACTTAAAAAGCTCAAACTAAACTACCCAAAACATGGATTTTTCACTAAATTTTAAAAAGATTCCCTATCCGTGGTACAGATGATATAAATTAATGAAGAGGTTTCTGTCCTACATATTGAAAAAAAAAAAAAACAAGTTTATTTCAGAAATAAATATACACTGACTCAGAAATAAATATACAATTACACATGTTGCTTATCCACGTTATGACCAGACAAAAGGAGTCATAGATACTTACGGCAATAGGGTTATTGAAGAATGAGGTCGGAGTTGAAGCTGTATGATGACTGCTCAGGTTGTGGGACACATTCTGAAGATCTGGGCTGCTGGAAGCATGTTGTAGTAATGGTTCTGGTGCATCTTCACTGTTGGACAATAAATTAATAAAACTAATAATAATTTTGGTATTTATATAGTACATTATTTCTTTGTGTACTCCACATAATCATAAAACAAATGCCGGTATGCAAAAAAAAAAAAAAAAAAAAAAAAAAAAAAAAAAACCCATTATCAGCTGACAATATTCCGTTGTTAAGCAGTGTTTCACCAGCTAAATATTGTTTTGTCTTGAAATAAAAGTGCTTTATAAATCATAAATATTATTATTAATTATTAACAGTTGGTGATTACGGTTTTTAAAATGGAAATTATGGGCAAATGTGACAGGCTGTGATTGCCTTGGAGGCTGTGCGCAGATTTTTAAACTATAAAAAAATTGGCCACGGCAGTTACGGTGTGGATGAGAAACCTAGTAGGTCGTAGGAAAAGGGGGTGGACGCAACAAAACGTGACAGCACGTAATAGGCCGTAACAAAACTTGGAGGCAGTCCGTAGTGGGATGGGAAGCATAAATAGGAAAAATGCCACAAATAAAACAACAAGAAGCAATCGACGAAGACCAAGCTGTGAAAGAAGCAAAGCGAAAAAACTGAGCAAGACCTAACACAACTTGACTACGGAGAAAAAATGGCCAAAATCTCATGGCACACTACATTTCGGGCACACTACATTTCGGGCATACAGGGCTTCCGTGGCCACCATGAACATAATGTAAACCTAGCATTACAAAATGAAAATGAAGAAACAAAACAATAACAGGTATGTAAGCCTTTGTCTTACTCCTGAAACAAAGAAATATTTTGAAGGAAGCACTGCAGAGGTAGCTGGTTGAGAAAAAACTTCATCATCATACAAGTGTATTAAGAATCACCATCATCATTAACTACATACCAATTAAAATATTTAATAATTATAGTCATTATAAAATGAAAGGGAAGAAACAAAGTACTGCAAGGGTACTGTACATGGTTGAGAACAACTCCATCCTAAACAAGTCCAATAAGTGTCACCATCATCATCAACCACAAACAAATTAAAAATAATTAATAATTGTAGTCATTATAAAAACAAAAATAGTTTTGCAAGATTTAAACATGTTCTTGGTAATCACAGCAAGGACTTTGAATACAAAGCTATGGCTACACTCAAATTTCAGATCATTTAATTTGGAAAGTCAGTAAAAATAAACCTGAGAGTGAAAGTACAAATAGCAAAAAGGCTGAAATAACAACCTCTGTTTTGATAACAATTAGCACGTTGTTACTTGTGTTTCTTCTGAATCCATTTAAAACAATAAGTATCATGTCACTTCATTTTTCTCACATTTATTGTTTTTCTAACGATTCACCATTTTATTTTATGTATGTCAATCATGATAATTATCTTTGTATTGGCTATTTAAGTAATAACACAAAAAACAAAATGCATGTAAAACTGAATCTTGTGTGTTTTCTGCACAAACTCTACAAGGAGTACTTTTATTTATTTGTTTAATCAAGAAATCACAAATTACACAAGAGACAACTTGGCATGATTCCATTTTCAATAAGCACAAAAGTTGAATAACAATGTAAAAGCAATGTATGAAATCATCAATTAATATGAATGAATATAAATATAAAAAATAATTGAATATGAACAAAAATAAAATTTAAATGAATTCGAAAATAAAAAATATAAAGGAATATGAATAAAAATTAATATGAATTATTATGGATGAATATAGAATGAATGAAAATGAATATGATTGATTGTGAATGAAAATGAATGTGACTATTAATGGAATGGATAGAAATATGCTATAACCTAATATTAGATATGGCTTCCATAGCAATAAAAGGTTTATTCATAAATTTATTCAACATTAATATTCAAAATATGGATACAATGAAAATGTTTACCATATATTTATTATATTTGAAAATCAATTGAAATATCATTTACAATATGAGGCTTGTCATCCCAAAAGAATCATCAGTGACTAAAAAATGAGAATTGATTATCTAATATATAATAATAATAATAATAATATAATTTTGGGATGGCATGCCTCATATAATAGATATAATATATAATACATCATTAAAATAGATTTATTAATATAAAAATAAATTCTATTTCTATACCTCCATGAGGCAAAAGTGTATCTCATATAGTGAGGAAGTAAAGGTCTGTCCAGATTAATATCAAATTTTCTTTGGCAAAAAAACCTTGTGTATGTCCATATATAGTCATGATGTGCCTATACATGGTCATGATGTGATGTCATTATGACCATGTTAGGCTTTTTACAAGTTTTTGTCCAATAAAATTTGATTGTCTGGTCAGGACTTAAGAAATCACGACTCCATGCATTGTTTATACACTACCAACAAAAATTTTTGTGCATCATCATGGAGAATATCAACCAAGTGTATGTATGGGAAGGGGCAACTATCTCCGGTGAAATGGGGGAATTTAATGGCAAGGGGAAAGTGGGTGAGTGCCTAAGATAAAAAGTCAGAATGTGCTTGCGAGCTTGAAACCTACGAGTGAACTTTTGTGGTTTTTTGTTTTTGGAGATGAGCACATCTCACTGCAACAGCTGGGAACGCATACAACTGCTTAAGTCATTCACGAAATGCCAGACTAACATGTGAAACATTCTAACAAGCTTAAATGCAAGACGTGCTAGGAATGCACAACAGACACTGGTCACACGCAAACACTCATAATAATATGTAAACACAGAAATTGGAACTTTGCTTTGAACTCGGAAAGTAGAACAGTGTTAACAGGAAATTCCAAACTGCTTTCAATCATCAATTGTACTATTCAGGCATGCGATTGCAGATATTTCATTGTGCATAACAATCTGAAGAAGACATTTATTTTCTAGTGATTGTATTTCATTGGCATGTGTGTTTGTTTGTATGGTGCAATAAGTGTTTCAAGAAAAGAGGGGAACACTAAATGGCTCGCTCTTTACTTTCTTAATGTTTTTTTATTTGCTTTAAAAAAAATTGTAATGTCCTTTGCTCTATGAACTTCTGTAGTACTCTTTTTTTAAATTATTTTTCAGAATTCCATTGTCCTTTTTTTCGTCTCTTCTATGTTTATGCAACCTTTTTTTTTGGTCTGTGCAATGTTATTGTTGTAATTTTTTATTCTGAACTTCATGTTATTTTATATATTGTTCTATAATATTTTTATATAACCACTTTTTAATGTTTGTACAATTTTTAATATTTACCCTTTTATGTTATTCAAATGATGCATTTTCATTTGCAATAAAAAACTGAATTGAAATCAAGGGAATGAAATTGCTTATAAACGCTGATTAGGATAATATCAGAGTAACTGAAAAAATTAATATATATATAAGTGATAAAAGATATAATTTCAGAGAAACAAATAGTGATGATAATTGGTGGTAGTTATGATAATTGAAAATAATAATTATAATGGTCAGGATAATAATAATAATAATTACAATTACATGCTCAGCACCTTTGAATTTTACTTCAGTTTAGTGATATTGGTGCTTTATAAATTATTGTTATTTTTATTATTATTAATTAGTCACCATATAATTATTAATATGAGGCAATGAAGGAATGTGTAATGATTATTATTTAATATAGTTCTGCACTGAGTGAAATCAACGAGAACAATACCAAGATTTAAAAAAAAATTAGGTCATTAGCCCTGTGCACAGTAGATTCAAACTAGTCTGTGTATGACATCACAATGCTCAATAACAGCCAGTGGCGGATCCAGGAATTCGCAGATGGGGGGTCTAGACACCTCAGGCCCACTATGGTTGGGGCTGAGGTAGAACAATTTATGACTATGGTACCTCTAATGACTGGAAACAACACTCTCAGACTTAAATTTGAATATCATTTTCCTAAATTTTTATAATTTTGAAAAATTTAGGGAGCCTGAGCAAACTCTCCCCCTTAATCCGCCACTGACAGCCAGTCTTCGGTTGTGAAGCATGGATGTTTCATTTGCACAGGCATTGAAGGCTACAATGGGGCTCAAAACAAATTCAGTGGTTGTACATTGGATTACATTACAGATGGTCAACTGAGAAACAGGTGTGACACTACAACTTACCTGTAATGAACATGTCTGGTTCTGTAGGGTCTACCGAGTAAACACATCAACAAACATTGTAGGACCGACATCACAAAAGCGACATAGAAACAATCAAACACAATGGTAAGAATCACAGAATAAATAATAATAATAACTAGACTTACTATGTCTGTTTGAATAACAGAACATAGGGCTTTTCAACATTGCTTTGATGAGAAATGAAGTTGAAATTGCAACAAAAATAAAAGTCGTTAAATGGTATAAAAAATTAAAAATAGCAACGAAAACCAAGTTCACTGCGACGTTATTAGTGAGACTTGAACTATGGCTGCAATGGTAATAGCGAGGTACATCGTGACTCATAACCACTGTGCGCTATATGGGCCGACCTTGCATCAGAAAGAGCATTTTCAGTTCATAGTGATTCAATGACTGAAAACAAAAATTGTCCATGCATAGAACGGTAATTTTGAGTTTAACCTAGCTGTAACTGGTTTAAGCGCTTTAGAAAACGCAAATTGCATTTAACTAATTTAATCAACTGTCAAAAAAAAATCTGTAAATGTTCCTCATATCCACACCCTACTGCGGATCGTCACCAAAATTGGATCATTTCTTCATTTCAACATGAAAAACTATTCCGAAAGTGTCGTTTTTATCCATCTGTTCTGGGACGTAAGCAATGTAAATGACCCTCAAATTTACACCCTAGGCTGGATCGTCCCCTACACATCATAATAACTTCCTGTAACTTGGGTTAAACTTTCCCTAAAGTTTTATCCGGATCAGTTGACCCGTTTTTGAAATATCTGGTCTGGGACGTTTTCCTTTAAATGGTCCTCATATTCACACCCTACGCCAGATCATCACAAAAACTATTATAGAAAGTTACATTTACACCCATAAAAAGTAGCCATTTCAATACTTTTTTATCTGAGATTAATTAGCAGACTTTTTGAGAAGCCATAATACCTTTGCTCATAACTTTGGCAATAGTATTTCAATTCCAAGTAAAGCTTATAAAATGTTGAGAATAAGAATATTAAAAAGTCAATTATCATTTTTTGGTCACTGATGTTGGTTTTGGGATGGCAAGCCTCAAAAACTATTGATTGACATTGATTGACACATTGACTGAGATATTGATGGACTGATAAATTTTAGCTTTTACCATAGATTTTGTTACATTCTACTCACCCTTTTGTCCCCTGACCAAAGTTTTTCAGTTTCACCGGTGATAAGGAACCTCCTCGGTTCTCCCTCATCCTTAGTGGTGATGTATTCAAGTTGCGATCCAACTTTGTATGTGAAGAAGCTCTGGGGTTTAGTGCTGGCTTCTTTACTGTTTCCATTTGAAATTTAGAGCTACTTGGAGAATCTATTTTAATAATGGATAAAAGTTTAAGACTAATATTTTAAGAAAAAATACTAGGAAAATAAAACTACCAAGAAATAATATTTTTCTTTTGAAGTGAAATGTGACTTTGATTTAAAGATAGAAAATTGATTATAAAATGAAAATGTCATAAAACAACTATGATATTTAACAACAGGAAATAAAATAGAGGATATACAATACAGGAAAATGAAACTGCACATGAGAGATTTTACATAAGGATAAATAGCACAAGGAAATTAGTGTGTGATGTTGAAGATGCAGAGAGGAAACAGATGAGGAGACAGTGGATAGAAACAGGATAATCGAGAAAAGTGGATTTTATAAGTAATAAGTGATTAACTAAGGAAAAAGGAAACACTGAAGTAGATATTAGGTCAGTAGTACTATGTTTACAGGAAGAATTAATGCTATGGACCCCTGTGTAAAGAAAATAAAATTATTGTAAACATCAGCTGACACCCTGCAGAATAATGTACAGAATCAATAGCACCCTCTATAATTCAAAATAGTCGAACAAATGCCCTTATATAGTTTGCTTAATGCTCTATGCTTTAGTTAGAATCCAAATGAAAACTTCACTGCGTAAGCATCTGTAAAGGAGAACAATTTAGAATTCTTTAAAATAAAACTATTTCAGACTCACAGAGTTGAGATGCTTGCTCAGAGAATGCCTGGAACTCTGGTTGCCATGCAGACATACTGCTGCTGCTGTTGTGCTGATAAGGACCTCCAGGTGTTTGCTTGATAGCAGGTGGTGTTGTCATCATCATTGGAACACTTTGCGGAGTCAGATGATGTATCATCTGCAGGTCTTTCAATGCTGTTGCAATTTCTACATGTTCAGAAAACATTTGAAAATGTGTCAATTATAATAAAAATAATAAAATAATTTTTTAAAACACTGCTCGTTCACAAAAGATATACTAGGTTCATTAAAGTGCACATGAGCCAATTGTGTTCACTTGGACTATGGTTTATAATCCTTATCCGAGAAGACTTGTTCTACCTCCAGAGCCATAGACAAACATAATGCTTGAACTAGTACAGATATTATGGCTGTAGGTTGCAACACCCCTGCCATAACCGCTCGACCATTCAAAACATTGTTAAAATATAGGAATAATTCATGTTATAATTACATGCATCAAAGCCCTGAATAGAATTGTTCCTTTTGATGCATTATACAATTATTTTGGGCTCCTTGGTATAAAAAAAAACCAGGCCATCCTTAATTCTCACGATTTTGTGTCGGCCACGCTTTAGCGAAAAACATTTTTTTAACGGTCTAAATAAGCACATGTTCACACTAGCGGTTATGTGCTGATAAGAATCGTACCTGCAACCGAAGCTGAATCTGCTTCTGGAAGCTTAGTAACAGCATAAAGCACTGCAGTTGCATTCGCAGCCCACTCGCGTTTGACAGTTGTAAGCCTTTCCATTGAACCTGGAACATCGTCTGAAAATATAATTACAATTACAGTATCATCACACCAGATTGATCTTTTCAACAAATATTTTTTCCGATGCACATATTCACAAAAGTAATACAAAATAATCATAAAATACTGTAAACCGCAGCACTGCAATTTATCTAAAATTTATTCTTTCATCATTATTTGAGGCTTTCCATCCTAAAAACTGAGCATTAGCATAAGAATCTGGCAGTATTGTATACTTTATTACAGAGAAGCTGTAACACTTCATACCCATAACTTTGGCAATAGTAAGTCTATTCCAATTAATTACACATTATTTTTAAAGCTTAAAATTTAGAACATATGTGAGGTCTCACTACAAAATGAGTCTCATCGTTAGAAAATTAAGAAATGAGTTAATATTACATTTTTGTAGTTCACATTATAAGGTTTAATTTGGTCTTTGAATGGCTTCCCTATGATGAATAGATCCAGAGATGTGAGCATTTAAAGTTTAGGTGTATGAGAACCAGGTTTTGAGAAAATCAGCCTCAAAGATAAACTAACCTGTACAAATAATAGGACTTGAATTACAGAATATGTGAAGAGAACACTGTTTTAGTAAGAAAATTCACTTAAAAAGTACACAATCATAAAATATAAGTATCAAGTTTATATTCAAAAACATTAAAATCAAAATTTTGTAAAAATGTTGCCTTTGACCTATTTTGGTGAATATCTCAATATGATTTCACCAACAATGCGTCTCATTTCGTGGTGAGACCTCACATATGAATGAATAAATCAAAAATAGTCAATTTTCATTTTTTAGTCATTGATGCTGGTTTTGGGATGGTATTCTCAATTTAGTTCATAGTTGTTACACAATTGATAGTTGCTATGGAGGCAAAGTGTTAGGAGCTCTACCAGCCCTGTTTTACTTGTAGAGTAGAGTACTGTCTCATGGCAATAAACTTACAACCACAGTTGCTCATACAGCAAAAAAGCAGAAAGGAATTATTAATGTTGTGCTTGACTTACCAGCTAAATCTCGAGCTTCAGAAATGACAGTAGGTGTAAGGCGGCACATTCTATCCACACTTAGAAACGCAAGCTCCTTCCCAGCCTTGTCTGTCACTGGCAAAAGTGCCCGTGAGCAAACTTGTCTAGCATGCGATACGTTCTGGGAAAGGTTTTCAGCCAAGGTTTGAAACTGAGTCAAGAGTTGAGTTTGAGATGGCCCTGAAAGAAGATTTCATTAAAATACTATGAAGCAATAAAGGTAGCCATGTTAGTATAGGTAGTAAAGACACACAACTGCAATATAACTGATGAAGAATGAAGAAATCCCTTCAGAAGAAACTAGATGCTCTACATAGACTAAATCTCATTATGAGGGATAGGGAGTTGTTTTGACTGTGAGGGGAATTCCCGTTACCATGGCAGGAATTGAACCCAGGAACCTGGGATTACAGTACATCGATAATTAAGATGCAATTAATTAAAGAACACATATACTCACCAGTGGCCTGTCTTGCAGCTAACGCTAGGCCAGTTAATGTATCTATCACTAGCCCCATATCACTTACACTTTCATCAATCAAAAGGCCCAATTGAGCCACCTGAAATAGTACAATTGAAATTGTAACAACATATATAAGAGACATTCTCAACAAATAACAATTTTCTTCAGAACTATCCTATGTGGTGTACTGCAACCATTAAATATATTATTACTTTACCATGCAAATCTTAAACAATATAACATACATATTTAACATGTCAATAAATATATAAATTTTGAATCTGATGATATATATATATATATATATATATATATATATTGACAAAGGTTGATAACAAAAAATGTTTGCTCATTTGACTTAATAAATATACCTGGCAACTTATTACAGTCTCTCCGGAGATTTTTTGTTTTTATACTAGGCGCTTTGAAATATGTTAATAAACTATACACGCCGGACACCATCCCGGTATTTAAGGCTCTTAATTTCCCTATGCTATCCAAGACTTTTTTGTTCACTAAACTTCAGAACTGAACAAGTGAAGAGAGGAAGAAATAAGGATGAATAGGAGAGGAGAGGAGGCATGAGGTGATGAAGAGTGGAGCAGAAAAAGAGGATGAAAAGTTGTGAAGATGAAGAGTGGAAATCTGGAAGGATGAGTAGGGACGGAGAATGATTAGTGGTGGAAGAGAAAGAAAAAGTGTGATAGTGGAAACATGAAGAGAAAAAAGATGTTGACTGAAACTTCAAATGAGTGAATACAAATCTGTGAAATGCACCTTAGCTTGTAATTGTCTTTGCATAAGCTGTACCCTGGGGTGGATTGGATCACTTCTACCCCCATCTTCATTGCTGTGCCTTTGCAAAACCACTTCCATCAGGAGAGCTGATAGTTTCTCAACATCTGACATTGCCACTGTTGTTTCCTCAACCTTCATGGTATCCTTTAGTCTAAAAAAATTAGACATAATTAAATTGTCTTTCCAAAAAAAAAAAAATGCTTTGTTTAAACAACGCAAGTCTGTGTACAAGGAATTGCTATATCTACTATAGCTATATTTACTATAGTTTGAATGAATAAATAAAAAACCACAAAGAAATATGGTTCACTTTACTTAACAAAGAGCAGAAATACTTAAAAACAATTTAAACATTTCGGTGGTGGATCAAGGAATTTAAAAAAGAGGGGGCCTGGGGAGGAACTTTGACAGATTGGGAGTCTGGACCACTTCCTAACCACCACCTAATTATGGTACCTCTAGATGGCTAGAAATGGTACTCTCAGACCTAAATTTGATTAATATTTTCCTTTTTTCAAGATTAAAAAAATTTTTTGACAAATTTAGAGTGTCTTGGTAGGCTGGGCGTCACCTGAATCCGACACTGAATTTGATTGAAAGTTATTACGCACAATATGGCAAGCTATAGTCTACTCACCCAAGAATAGCCTTCTTTGCCATTTGGACCAGCGAATCGCAGGCTTTCTTCAAGTTTCCAGCTTCTTTTTCAACCAATTCCTGAGAGCCTGTGCAAACAGCTTCTTCAAGGGATGGTACCATTACAATTGATTGTAAATTGACAGAATCTATTGCTTGGAATAGTTGTAGGTGCTTAACTGACCACTCAAGAATGAGAAGCTCTAACTGGCTCTCCAAGCATATATCTCCTGGAATTAAACACAAAAAATAATGTAAATAAAACTGATATACTGTATGTAATTGAAACAAATAACAAGATTTCAAAATTAATTATGTAAACTAAATGAAAATGAATACAAATTTGAAACTACATATGAGAAATACCAAATTATAAAAAAAAACAATATAAATACTTTTTGACATCAACAAGAAAGAATACAAAAATCAAAGATGATGTTCGTAGGATATGAGTAAGTTATAGATGAACCCACCTAGTTTCTCTTTATAAAACTTAAAATATGTTGGCCATATACACATTAGATATTTTCAAAATATTTCATCTATATACAGTATTTCTTTTCACTTATGTGAGATCACAGCAATAGTGGATATCATACAAGTGAATGTGTGTTGAATCTTTGTTGCTCAACGAAAACCACATGATTTGCAGAGGTTATGAAAGCAACATGCTTTACATCAACACACAAAAAAAATGTAAAGTAATGGACTTTACTATTAATCAAACTTTATTGACCAATCATTCAAGGAATAAATGCATGTTTTACAAACACACACATTTACAACTGTACTGGATGGCTCTTATTTTGTAGGTCCTTGGCAATGATATCCAAGGGGCAGGGCTTAACTGAACGGTCCATCACGGAATAAGGATCAAAAGCAACAGCGCTCTCACCTTCAGCTATTGAAACTTCACTCGCAGCAGCAGAGAGTGTTTTCACGAGTCTACTCAACTCTGATGCATGGGTCTGGATAACTTGTGCCTGTGTGCTGTAACTGGATGGACGGATAGCGTGGGTCCGGTCGAGAGCATGACATGTCTCTACGGTTGATGTCACTGTTTGACGGACAAGTTGCATGTGCGAATCAAGTTGCTTCAACTTTAAAGAAAAAACAAAAACAATAAACAATTCATATTTACATTACTTTTTTATTTTATGTTACTAATGATTAATATTATGATTAGGATAATGACCCAGGTAATAAAACAAATAGGTTTTTTGGATCACCTTGAAAAGTTTGAAAAAAAATATGATATAAAAAGGAAAGTGAAACATTTTGTAATGAGATCTTGTTCTTTCATCACACCATATAATACTTTTTACTACTGATAAGAAATTCATTTTTAACTTTTAAGGTTGTTAAGGTTTTCAATTTCAAGTATTATAAATGTTGTATCAGTTTACTTTTTTTCAAGTATTTTCAAATATGCTTCAAAATATAACTCTATTTACAGTGCAGGTGGAGGTGCAGGGGGCCCAGAAAAAAGAGAGAAAACGAGAGAGAAGAAAATAAAAAGAAAGCGAGGGGAGTATTAACGGTACCGTAGGCCTACGTGAAAACTAGCTAATTTTTGATCTTAGTACTGTAGTACCAGTGCCTATTAGTCTCAACAAAAATCTTACACACTATTACCCCACATCACATGACCCCTACCCTGACATTTCTCTGGGTCAGCCCCTGTAGAGGTTACTATAGCAACCAACACAAGTAGACAAACAATACCTTGTCTAGTGAAGGCGAGTGAACACAAAATAAATACATGAAGATGTATTCACTAACCTGATAATTCAATTTCTTGTTATCTCCAACCTTAGCGTATTCCATCACCATAGTAACAACATTGAACCATACGATTGAAGCCTCAATGATGCTCTTCACAAGGTCATTAACCTTTTCAGTCCAATCTTCAACCATAATCTGAGCCTCAGCTTTAAACACATCCTGCTTTAACACAGAGGCCTTGGCTGTCCCCATCACCTGAGGGGTAAACTCTAGTAAACCATCGGCTTGTGCTTTCAAATTCCTGAAGAAACAATCATTTTGATGTGTTCAAAAACATTAAATTTCTATACGAGGTTCCTTCCAGTGATTCACTAGAAATTTGTGGGAAAAAGAAATTTTTAAAACAGATACAAGAATAATAAGGGACATGTTTATTATTTCATATTTATTCAAGACATATAATTAACTAAAAAAATATACTGTTTTAGAACCTTTGTTATTGTTAACTTTACACATGCCCTAAGCTCTGGCCTAGGCTACATAAGGGCTAATGAAGTAGAAATCCCAAAATCAAATTTATCTATCAGCTTTCAACATGATCTTGAGCAAGTTTAATGAAAAGAGGCCTGTTACATAACATCTATGTGTTACACTTGCTAAATGGGCTAGGCGATTTAATTATTTTTGAGGTAATTTCCAAGAATAAAACTGGCATATATTGGTTCATTAAGGTAAGTACTGTATTTACAAAATACCGACTGAAAAATTCTTCCAGATAATTTCTTTATCTATTACCTCTGTTTTCCAGTATCACGCAGAGATTCTGCAAGCCTTTTGGCCAAGTCCGCTACAGATTTTGAGTGCTTCATCACGATGACGTTACAGGCTTCAACCTGCATGCCGTCCATCCTGTATACGGCCGTCATCAGTTCAATCATGGGATAGCGAAGGTTCTTGGGCATCACTGTCGAATGCAAGCCAAACGTACAAATTGATATCAATTAAAATATGAAATGCTGCTAATTATAAAGATAGTATAATACATACTCCAAATATCGAAATGCACGCCATCGTGTCAGGATTCAATATTTCGACATTAATTATGTCATCATCAGGATGGCGTGCATTTCGATAGTTGGAGTATGTATTATACTATATTATCTGAGATTAATCAGTGAACCTTTCGGTTGCTGCTAATTATGTTAAGCACTGGAGATTGTTAAGGGTTTTCTTTATATTTCATTATTTATACACACATTACACATAAAGAATATAAACAGGCAGGAAAAAAAATTACTAAAAAATCTGGCTTCATCTAAAGAATTAAATAATAATTTACTATATTCTTTGTTTTATAAATGAGTGAACTGATGGAATAAACGAATATATGAATGAATAATTAAAAAACAAAACACATGGATAAAGATATACAAATTGTGCCAAATGAATATAAACAAATGTTTTATTTATTTTTATTTGCTGATTTATAAGTTGAATGAATAATGCTTAGATGGATAGATGGATGATGAATGGATAAATAAATTAATAATAAAATGATGAATAAGTTGCAGTAATAAACAGAAAAAATATGCTTACTACAACCAATCACAAAATGGCAAGGATGATAGAAAGCCCAAATATAATATTACACTTAACATTAGGGAAAGGTTCTTGAAGGACTCACAGGTATATGAAGCTTCAGCCCTTGTTTTAGCACTCAGATTCATTGAGCTCATATCATGCACTATTCTAGAGGTGCCACTTGCTTCACCAGAAGGAACCAGATCCACCATTGAAAGCTGCTGGATGTCCACGATTCCAGAACAGGCTGGAAGAGGGTTGCTGAGGTAACTTTCATTGTGCTGAATTGGTTTCCTCAACACTGGTGCAACTGGAGAATCTGAGTAATAAATAAACCAGTAAACAAACATTGCTCGATATGATCAGATACAGATAATAAAAACTTTTTCTGTAACTATCTATTGTTTTTGCAGAACAACTGAAGAACGATGTTTTGAGAGTATGATAAATTAAAAAAAAAGAGGAGGTGAGAACATGAGAGGAAGCATCCAGCATTGATGAAAAAGTCTAAGAGATGCAGAATTCGTGACTTGTAAAGTTAAAACGAGCACACACTTCGTCGGCTGACAGTGGTCCAACAAATCCATCTTCGTTATGTTTGAGTGCTACATAACACAATTTTGTCTGTTGATCGTCAATAGGAGCTGAGAAGATCGTCGCTGAAAACGATTTGTTGCATATACCTCACTACAGTCTCCATGGATTCGCGTCTGCTGCCGAACATAGGTGTAGCGAATACCCAGCTTTTAGGATACTCAAAAGATAATTGAAAAAGAAAATAAAAATAATCAATACAATACTTACGCAATGCTTTGGAGTTCTTAGGATCCCTGACATTGTTTCTCAGGGGACTGAGTATGTTTGGGTGTGACCTAGGGTCTAGGCCTTCATGAACATCCTCAACGCATTCCAGAAGTTCTTTTGCCTTCTCTGCTAACTGTTCATGTGCTGACTGATGGTTCATGTGTTCTAGTGCGTGGTTTGCTGCAGCCTTCACAAGTGGAATTACTAGATGAAAAAATAATAAAGATAATGTTAATCAGAGAAGAGATTTTTGCCCTCCCTAACATGTTATCATACCGAATACTCAGTACATTCCTACTAGACTACCGAGCTTGCCCTTAGTGACTAGTGTTGAATATGATCCCCAAAGAGCAGTTGGTACTGCAAATGCTATTTCGTAAACTCACATCGAAATAATGTTAAACTTTATGAAAAAAAAGCAAACTGTTGCTCTGTCAAAGCAGAATGACAATTCAAAATCAAGAATCATTATGATTTGAATCATATTATAGACCTATCCGGAGTGTCAATCAGAAAAGGGCTAGGAATATACGTGTGTTAAACAAACACACGTGTTGTCTCACAAACGCATTTGTTTGCGTATGTTTTTACGCTGCTGTTTTGCGGGACCTTAGCAACAATATCCAAGGGGCGGGGCTTACCAGAAAGGTCTGTTGTCATATTTCTATACTATGAATTTGTTTTGTGTCCTCTGACCTTTATATGACCTTCATATGAAAATACATATTCAATGCAATGGGGGTAATTGGTTTGTACACTGCAAGACATTCTCTCAACTCTTCTTTCCTTGCTATACTCAGAAACAACAGCTCTATAACATTGGAGTCCCTCCAAAAGAACACAATGAGAGCAGAAATAAACGCGAACAAAAAGGGACCTAATATAATAGCATCAGAATATATACCTTTCTGCAACTGGTTCACAAAAACCAGGAGTCCATTTCGATAAACTGGATCCTGGCTGCGATCAACTTCCCTCATGGCTACTTGAATAACACGCTTTGCCCTTCCCAGCATGCAGTTGGCAGCATCGGCCAGAAGGTCCTTGTCAGTTATGGATGAGGCTTCACGACATTGAGTTATGTCTCTTTTAATATATGCTTCTAAACATCCAATGAAAGAATAAAAGTATTTAAATCTTTTATAAAACATTAAACAATCCTTGATGATTATAAATCATTTTTAATGTGGTGGTCCCGTGGTTGAAAAAGTCTCTTAATAAATGTAATAAGCAATTAGTAGAGCTGTGCATAGTACACTAGCGGAAAAATTATTAAACAAAGATTAGATTTAATCATTGAACAAATTTTTAATGCATTAAATTTAATCGAAGTATAATAATTTTCTCCTAGCATACGATGTATACAGCTATACTAATTGCTTTATATAAGTCAATCTTTTAACACTCTGACCGCCAGAAGTTTGAAGAAATAATATCAGCCACCGCCAGAATTTTTAGCGAATTTTATCACTTTTCCGAAGCTCGTTCACAGTGTGTATGTGACCAGATTGACACGTAATAAATACTACAAGAACTAAAAACATCTTAGCTTTACAAAGGTACCAAACATTGATTTCATATCTAGGCTAGGCTACGATCTAGGTCTATGTTACGTTTCAGCCTTTGGTGCAAGTATTTCATGGTTTATAAATAAAAGATTGTAAACTGCTTCTCAACATTAATGGTAGCATCAGGGCTACGATACCAAGATGTAAACAATTTACATTTATGAAAGACGGATTAGTTACTTGTAAGAGTGCATGAGACCATGCTGATTTCCGAGAGACTAACTTAACTTTCAAGGACATGGGGCCCTGTTGCATTTCATTATCAACAGGGCCAAGTATATTTATATGTGTTCGGCTCTGGCAAAACTCTTGGTTTGTCGCATTTTCTAATTTTCCACAAGCACCCAAAACGTTCGAGATCCAGAATTTTCACGTTTTTGCATTTTATAAAAGAAGATATATTTAAGAACATTTTTGTAAAACCTCAATCACTAAATCTAACTGAAAAGTATATTAAAATTATTTTCAAACTATAAATCTTAATAATAAACTATTGATTTTGGAATCTTCGAAAGCTGTTTTCCCAAAACCTACATGGCTGATATCCAATAAAATAAATATTCAAAACTTTGCTAATAGTAATACTCAACCAATTTCCATCAAATAAACAAACACTGTTTTAAAGAAGACTACAGTACTTGCAGAATCGAAAAACACCAAAAACTCAATTTTGAATTTTTGCTACAAACGGAGGGTTTTGCCAGAGCCAGTCACATATATTCTAGTACAGCGGTGAGTCGAATGGCCGAGCGGTTAGCAGGGGCGCTGCAAGCTATAGCCATAATATCGGCGCTGGTTCGAACGGCATGCTCACCTATGGTTCTGGTGGTAGAACAAGTCTTCTCGGATAAGGACTATAAACCGTAGGCCCAGTGTATACAATGGCTCCTGTGCACTATAAAGAATCCAGTACGTCCTTCGAGACGAGTAGGGGGATACCCCGGTGTACTGGAACAGACAGCCCTTGTGGTGGACGACGAGAGTTGCTGGTACCTGGTTACCGGGTAGCACAGACACGAAGGGACCCTTAGGGGCGAAGAAAGCCATTGATCGAGTTCCTAGTTCACACATCAAGTGCCCTGAGCACCTTACATTAGATGGATATGCGCTATATAAAACTACACTATTATTATTATTATTATTAAAAGCAGTATGGTTTGATTAAAACTAGTGGATTTTGGAGCTGTCTTCCAAGAAATTTTTCAGGTTACCTCTACTTACCAGTAACATCCAGGAATCTGTTCTGATCGATGAGTTCATCTATAGTGTCTACAAGCTGTGTCACCTCATTCTTCCATTCCCTGTGTATCAGCTTGATGTGCTGAATGGCTCGCTTATCCAGAATGTCATGCCTTACAGCAAGGCATGCTGGGAGTACTTCTGGGTCGATCTGCTCCATGGTGTTAACAGCGGCCTGAATGACCTCCACTCCTGTTGACGGGTAAATTTTTAACATAATCAAATATCATAACCCAGCAAGTCCAATTAAAATGAAATTTTTTTTTGTTGGCAGACAAACATTTCATCATTGTAACAAATTTAATAAATATCATAAAGCTCTGTCCAGACTACTAAATTATTTGACAAAAACATGTGACATTCCTAAATATGGTCATGATGGCATCACATCATGACCATATATAGGCATATCATGGCTATATATTGGCATACAACAGTATTTTGTCAAACAAGATTTTATAATCTGGACAGAGATTAAGAAAAACAATAGACATCTAATAATGTGCACATCTGTTGGTCTACAATTGCAAATCCTAATACAATCCAACAGTATACACTATAGAAGACTTGACCTCAAGGCATCCGTGGAAGGAAAGAATGTGTACTAGACAACATTGAAAGTAAAAAAAACATTGTAAAACATCGAAACAGTAATAATGGAGGGACTTACTTTTATGATCAGAGCAGCTGGCAGCCATGAATGTACCCACCTGGCACACCCTATCAAGGTGGGAAAGGAATGCGGTCTCTAAAGGCTGCAGGATCTCAAGACATACCTTTTCATTTAGGCGTCCCTTTTCCTGGAACACAATCACAATTTGGTTATTACTATCATTGTTGTTATATATTATTATTTGTATTATTATTATATCATCGGGGATAGTGTATTCTGAACAAAGAAACGAGGTCCCCTGCCTACCGATGAGTTTTTGGATCACTCCCACCAAGACGAATTCCATCCATCAGGGTCCCAACCTGGGTTTACAGCTAAACCCTTGGTTGCTTTTTTGTTACATAATGTTGTTCGTTCCCTAAATACAACATAGGTAGAATAAAAGCTGTATTACTGTATATATCTAATATACATTGAATCCAAACCTTTAAAGGAACTGTTGCTGCTTTAATAAGTCTTTCAAGAGGTTCTATAGTTTCAACAAATGCATCAACAACTTGACCAATGAGGGCGTTCTTCACAAGCTTCTCCAGGATCAGGAAATCTCTAGCAAACGCTTCACAATTTTCATCATAGTCGGCCTTCAGCTGCTTGAACCCTGGATTGTCTTGTACATTAATACACTCTTCTTGGATTATAGTCCTCTGCCTTAGAATCTACAAAAAAAACAAAAAAAAACAAAAAACAAGGAAGACACCGTAATATATACAGGAATCGAAAGTGTATGATATAATCTACTAGCATACTTAACTTGTGAGATGCGTTCAAGTTAGCAATGTAAGATTAACCAGTTAGGTACTCACTAAAGATAGTCTGAAAACATGTTAAGTTACATAATGTTAAAGATTAAGAAAGCGCAAATTCCAAATCAATAATCAAAGGCACTGAATGTTATTATCCCTGGTCACTGGATAACATACAACAGCAAATCAGCAAATGGTACATTCAAAGCCACACAACAACCTACCAGGTTCCCATTTATCCTGGGTAGAGAGAGACGAACATAAAATGCCTTGCCCAAGGACACAAATGACTTGAACAGTGAGGGTTTGGGAGTCAAGGCGACAAATGCATCTACTATGAAAGTATAGGGTGGAACTCTTTCTTTAGTACCAGCAGGGTTTGTACCAAAGACCCTAAGATTGACACTTTGATATCAATGGATATTCAAGCTTCTTACCTCCTTGCAAGAGTTTATGATACCTTCTCGGAGGTGATCTCTTGGGATGGATGAAGCAACTGCCATGCTATGTCTAACTATGGACTCCAACAAGCAATCAAAGTCAACACTCAGTGAATATCGTCGCTCTGGCGACAATTCCTTCATGGCCTACATACAGTAAACAAGGATTAAATGAGAAATGTATTATTAAATTGTACATTTAATGTAACTAATTTAATTTGTAAATGTATATATATGTGGTACTTTGTTAAGTATTTTAAATCTGAATTAGGTTTGAGGATATTAGCAGGATTTAAACCATGGGATTAGAATACGTAAGCTCTAGTTTAATAAATAACTTTGTTAGTAATGGATTGGTAATCATCATTAAAAAAATTAATAATAATCATACTACAATGATAAATAATAATAATAATAATAATAATAATAATAATAATAATAATAATAATAATAATCATACTACAATAATAAATAATAGTCAAAATAATAACAAAGATACCAAAAAAATATTGTCAACTTTTGAAAGGCATATTTATAACAAATTATACATTTTTTCAAATTCATGAACTAACCATGTCGATTTTGATGGCAAAATGTCCTGGTTCTTCGTTCTTTACAGGCTTTTGGCTTCCGACCTTTTCTACTACATTTATGATTTCTGTTACTGCAACCATGATGTGTTTAATTACATAATCACAACTAGCCTATAAATAGATATGAAAAAAAAAAGTTGTATTTCATTTAATTGTCTCAATAAAATATGTTATAGCATGGAGGTATAAAATAAATTATGATGGTGAATCTGCACCAAAGAAGGTTTTATGCATTTATTATTATTTTATACCTCCATGGTTATAGTAATATAATACTAAAGGTGTTTATAAAAACAAAGACAGGATTCCTAATAATATTATGAACTACCAGTACAGTATATTAAACAGGTTTTCTATTGCCATCGGGTTTTTTTTTCTGTTTTCAGAATTTATAATGTAAGTTTTAGTACATTACATTTCTGCCACCATTAAAGAAAAAATTCTGATTCAAATTGGAGGGATATCATGCTGGATATGTATGACTGACTTGAAATTAAATGCTTTGAGGTTCACAAAATAAAATATCCGGCCTGCCAACATTGCTGAAAATAAATCATTTTCCCACAGATTTTTAGAAAAAGTTTTTCTGTTTATAGAAACACCTCCTAGGTACCCCTACTCTAGCATTGTTTACAAGAGTGTGGCTTTTTCTGAGTGTAGCTCACTGTATCTAGTGGCTAGGAGTGCCATTTCCAACAATCTAGAGGTGTCATAATCATAAATTTTCTTACCTCAGCCTCACCAATGGTGGGGCTGAGTGGTATTTTCCCCCATCTGTGAAAGTTCTTCACTGGAAAATAAAAGAAAATGGGTGGGGCTGACAAAGAAAGAAGTGGAAGTACACAATTAACATTGGCCCGCCACTGGTCTCAACAGATTGGAACTGGCCCCCAGCTTATAAATGCTGAATACACGGGAACTAGAATTACACCTATACATGATTCTCCTGACGCAAATCCAGTTATTGTCTACTCCATCACGACAATAACAATTACTATCAACATTGCAGTACCCACTGCTTACTTGGACTCGAATTCAACCCTGGCCATCAGGCGCAAGCTCGGTGGTCTAAAGGCATGATGCCAGGCTAGTGATCTGGAGATCGTGGGTTTGAGTCCCACCCGGAAACAACTTGTGATTTTTTTCGCAATTGTTTTCACACGTACTAAGTATTCAGTACATTTCCAAGTCAGATAGGGCAAAATTACAACTATACTAGAATCACACAGACATTCTATCATTTACAGAAGAAATGTTTTCTAGGTAAATTTAGCAATAGTTTATCCAGGTAAGCATGAAAGAAATAGACCAATAACATACTAATTGCAAAAGTCTCTAACCTTAGCTTGTGTACTCTTGGAGTATTTCACAAATGTTTGCATAGTACTGCTAAGCATGGGTGTGGCTTTCTTTAGTGTTGCCATAGCAACTAACAATCGCTGCTTAGGCTGTTGCTGGGTAAGATCTTGTTGGCGTTTGTCACACAGACTTGAGAGAAGCATTACAGCTTCCGTGAAACCCTGCAAAAAGATGTATAATAATTATTAAAAGGAAGATGATTAATAGAAAGATAATTTTTTTTTTCAAGGGGGGATTTTTGATATGTCACTAGTAATAGAATCAAATTTAAAATTGTTTTTTTTGGCAATTTTTTATAAAGTTAAAGGCCATTATGACTTTGCCCCTTTAGCAGTTTAACTTCAGTGTAAGGTACTGTAACCAAAGATCATATCATATAGCATCCATGATGATGTAGAGCCTATGACAGGCCACTAAAACTACGACAATAAGCGAGATAGGTAACATGGGAATGGGCATGGAAAACACCACTCCAATATTCTTTTTAATAAGTGCCGCTCTCAATAAGCACCGCTCTGGAATAAGTGCCACACTGAAGCCCCTACAAAACTTTATAAGCGCCGCAGCGCTTATTCGAGGATTTATAGTAATCAGAATGTAAGTTTACTGTACCTTGAAGCTCTCCACTAGCGCTTTCATAGTCTCCACTGATTTGAGCAGGTTCAGACGATCAATTGCCCAATGAGCTGCACGGACTATCTTCCGCACTTCTGCATCATCGGATATCAACATAACCTATTAGCCAAAAATGTTATTCCAAAATTATACAAGAATTAATGGAGATAATGTCTGAATATGTAGAGATTCCTTTACAAAATGAAACACTCTTCTACCATTATTTAAAAAGTGTACAAATATTTTCATTAAGTTTTTCTTTGTTGCCCTCCACCCCTACCCCTCAACAGTGCATTCACCCGTCCCTCTATAATTGCAGTTACATTGTACAAGTACAGACATTTTTTGAGAATTTGACAAAAACCAAGCTGAATTCCATGAGTATAGGAATAATTTACTAATTGATTTACTGTAGGCTCGAGGGGATTGAGTGCCAAATTTATGTGTTTAATGAAATTTTCTGTGACACCAGTTGAATAATGATAATTAAAGTTTTTAATATTTAGTATCATTATTCATATTTAAGAATTTTTTTCCACACTCAATTTTAATTTTTTTTCTAAATTATTTAAATCTAAATATTGTTTCTTTTTAGAAACTTTCTAAATTATAGAGTGTGTTATAATTTTGTTTTTGATGTGTTTTACTTTTGAGGTTTAACAAAAGATAGTGTTTCAGTTCTTCGAACACAATTTGTGTATAATATAATAATATTCTTGCATTTTTTAATATATTCCATTTTTGTAAATGCATTCATTTCAGCCTTTGGCTGCCGTTTTTATACCTTCTTTTATACCTGAATAAATAAAATAAATAAATAAATAAATAAACTGCATCCCATACCTTCATTGTACATTCCAATACATCTCTTGCAGCTTTCACTAAACTCTCCCTGGCTTGACTATCATGCGGGCGTATCTGAAGACACTGTGATGCGACCATCATACTTTGCCCTGCAGACTCCATCGCCTCACATGCTTTTGGCATGGATATCCGTAACTCCTTAATAACAAAGATTAACAAGAAAACTGTTAATGTTACTTCATTCTTTAAAGGTAAAGCATTCTTAATATTATTCAGTGGTCAGAGACAGTCCTTGTCATAATCATGTAAATTGTCCTATATTTCCAGGTGGTCCTATGTTGATGTTATTGTAGGGACCATTGTGTATTATTTGGTGATTGCAAATCTATAAGGAAATTTCTTGTAAAGGGACCGTAAAGCAATCTAATAATACATATTGTTTGATGTTATCCTAGTGTGTATAAATTAATTACTGTATATTCTCGGCAAGGAATGCAATGTTTAATGCGGTGAAATAAGATTTTGATGCCCATAAAGACTATAGAATAGCAAAAGTATGATTTCAGATATTGGGGTCGAAATTTATTCTCTCAGGCATTTTGCTTGTTGAGCAAGGTATTTTATCTGTTTGATCACACTCCATCCAGTAGTATGAATGGGTATCTGGTAGGATGTGTTCAGATTAAATGAATGGTCTATGCATAATACTGTACTACAATCATTGAGTAGTAGAAGGTTGCACTTTGTGCTCGTTTGCCAAACCATGAATCTAATAATCAAGTTTATGTTATTGTATAAAGGAACTTTATGGCAAACAAAAACATCAACATTATTATATTTTATACTGAATTGTGACAATGAAGTTTTCTTATTTTCTTGTTCAGTATCTTTTATGGTGCTACTGTGATATATCACCATTTCTATTGCTGAACTAGGTTTTTCCAGCTCCTAACGGTGACACAAAAAATATACAAACAATACCTTGATAGGTATATGCCAAATGGCAAACCTACCTCATCTTTGGAGTCTTTAGCAAGCCGTTGACCCACCTGAACCAACTCTTCTGTGGCTTTTAGAACAGACTGTGCATGTGGGTTGAGATTTGGCAAGCTTTCTGGCGTCTCTTTTGCACTTTCATTCAGAATTATCAGCTGTGACACCTATAAAAATCAGTCATGTGACAATTGAAATATACCTGACAGTATCATTAAAATTTAAAATAAAAACACTAGTAGCACTTTTATAGACTAACTTAAATAGTTCACTTCACAAACTTTCATCAGCAATCTAATCAAAACCAGGGATCCAAAGTTTCCCGCAGGTCGTGGGGGTCCCCTGGAACTGGACGGCCTCTTGCACTCCCGCAACCAAGCAAGAATCTCCCAGAAAACAGCTTATCTCCTGCAGATTTATTAAAGCTGAATGTTTTCACATTTTTATTGTTAGCACGTCTTCATCATGACAGAGAGTTTGTGACATCTGTGATGACACGCCACCTCTGTCAGTTCATATAGCAATTTTATTCACCTTTGGAAGAGGTACTGCACGACTCTAGCTAGCTAGGGCCTATCTAAAGATTTGATCCTGTTTTTTGGACCTGGCCTTGGTACTGTAGATATTGAGCCCTCCCCTATCCCAACCTGCATGATAACTTTTTTTAAGCAGTTAGGCTATCCTGTTGTCTGGCTTTGTTCCCAAATTGCCACTTTTTTACCATTTGTCTCACAGGAGTCAGTGTCGATGGATATCACAAATAGTAGTAGGCCTAGGCCTTAGGCTTAACTAACTAGGCCCCTATCTATGCTTATTTTAATATGCCACCTCCAGGGGCGGCACGCACCAGCTGGACTTAATCCCCCTCCATTGGTCTGGTCAAGCCACCACCCCACCATCGGCCAAAGCTCATTGGGCAGTCGGACCAAAAAAAATAGGCCTAGGCCTATCCTTTTCCCATCCCAGTACTGTACTGCCTACGACAAGCCAAATCTGTCTCAGCAATCGCTTTATCTGGGTTTGATCAGTCAAGCAGAACATAACAATGGTGTATACCATACCCACCCCCGACTGTTCTGACTGTGTCATTAAGAAATCGAACAGGTATTGTACAGTAAATGTAATTAAGATGAATCTAAAGTGCATTCATTTGTACATCTTTACATAAGGTTCTATAACGTTGCACTTCGGTTCTCTATAAAGATTTTTCAAGATTTTAACCCAAGTCCCTATGTCATCCTAACCGCCAAGCAAAAGCTCCAGTCTTATGTCATATTACTTCTTCTTTTCTTCTTTTTGTTCTTAATAAGGAACTGACTTCAAACTTTAAGACTCTGCTACTCCTATTTCCTGATATATTCATTATGATTTACCTGTGGGCCTACACTACCAGGAACAACCGGCCAGAAAAAAACAGACTGTAGAGACGACCACGACAGCGACGCTAGCGGAAATATTTATTTATTTATTTCCATAGAGCTATTAAACAACTAGAGTGCTGACAAGATGGCGCAGCAATGCAGAGGTATGTATGTGTACCATCCAAGATGGCCGTCGTAGTAAAGCGCCACCTTCAGGCTTAGTATACATATTATTACATATTAATAAGCCCTCTGACTGACTATTATTTCATTAATGATAATGAGTAATGGTAATAACAAATTTTTAAACTATTGTAGCCAAAACGAGGCCAAGTGATGCATCTTATTCAAAAATAAAGTACCAAGGAATGAAAATTAAAATCGTATACATTACACCCAAACACCGCAACGCTCGAGTTTCAAACATACAGGTAACTAGCTGTATTGAACTTTCTGAGTAAATTGAGGGCGCATTTGCAAACAATGGCGCTTAGCGAAATTTGATTGGCTAAATCTATGGTAGCCATCTTGGATGGTACACACACACAGTTCTGCGTATTTCGAACATCGAATACATTGCGGTTAGCGCTCTAGTATTCTTATTATACCTCTATGTTTATTTCTCATTCTGGAAAGCGCCACCAACGAGTGAGTTAATTGATCCAGCAATATTTTGCGCATGCGCTGTTTTCAAGTCTGTGACGTGCAACATATGAAGTTCTCGCCGCCACGCCCACATCAGCCCCACTATGGTTAGTGTAAAAAAGTGGCAAATATCGAGCTCTCCTTTCACCCCAATGCTGGGTCGCCACTGAACTCTGGTTACACTCCTTTTTCCTTTTTCCTCTTTTTAACTAAAATTTTTCTCACTCGTTTTTATTTTTTGGCTTGACAGACGGGGTAGGGGGAAGGAACGGGCCCTCATGCTACCCCCACCCCAAGCTGGATCCGCCCCTGTTATCATCTTGATACCTTCCGACGAAAATTAACCGTACCGGCGTCACCACGGCGTCCCCACCGATCGATCTAACGTGATTGTTATATGGGTGTTTTATATTATTGAGAATGGTAATATCACGGAGTGGCGTATCTAGATGTCTTTAAGGGGTGATGATAGGGGGCGCAGAGGTGAAGTGGGGGACTGATGGGGACGTGAAGGTGAAGTGGGGCGGGGGAGGCTCGATAATCAGTTGAGGGGCGCTAATTCGCAAAATAAGGTGATTTTAGGTGATTTTTAATTTATTTAGTATAACTTTATTCGGAAAATTAATCTCCAAAATCGAGTTGCCGTCCTCGGCGTTGTCAGTGACGTATGATTTGTGTGCGATTTTTACCAATTAGCCCCTAAGTAAAAATGGTTGAGCCAAGTAGTACCTTTAAAACCAACCCAGAAATCCGGTTGTTTGTTGATTGTTTATTGGTAGCGTCCCTTCGCTGCCAAAAATAGTTTTTGGCAGTTGCGTCCCCGGTGACATCGTGAGGGCATAGTGAAGGCTGGTTACGATTTGGTGGCACATCGATGCA